TTTTGCCACAGTTGTTAAGTGAATCATGTGGTCATTAAGTGAATCGGGTGGACATTAAGCAAATCTGGCTTCTCCCACTGACTGCTTGTCATTGTAACCGTGTCATTGTAACCGTGAACGGTCACTAAATCAGGGGTCTTCAAACTTGGCCCCTTCAGCCAGGCATGCTGGCTGAGGAATTCTGGGAGTTGAAGTCCACAAGTCATGAAGGGGCCTTAGTTCCTCCATGCTGGCTGAGGAATTCTGGGAGTTGAAGTCCACCAGTCATGAAGGGGCCTTAGTTCCTCCATGCTGGCTGAGGAATTCTGGGAGTTGAAGTCCACCAGTCATGAAGGGGCCATAGTTCCCCCATGCTGGCTGAGGAATTCTGGGAGTTGAAGTCCACAAGTTATGAAGGGGGCCTTAGTTCCCCCATGCTGGCTGAGGAATTCTGGGAGTTGAAGTCCACAAGTCATAAAAGGGCCAAGTTTGAAGACCCCTGCACTAAATGAATGCTTGCAAGCCAAGAACGAACTCTTACTTTTTGAGCTGATTCTGTTTTTCTTCCTTTTTTTAATGTTTTTCTTCCTTTTTCTAATTCTCCAGTTCACAGATCAGGAAAGAAAGCTGATGGAAGCCTCAACAGAATTTCATAAAAAGGTAAGAGTTTGAACCACTTTTGTTCCAAATTCTAAATACTATTTATTTGATTTGAAATACGTCTGTTGGTTTGCAGGCAAAACAGGGTTGCAGTGTACAACTTCCATTTGTCCCCTGCCGGGAAATGCTTCTATTTAGCATCTCCATTTGATTCTCACAGACCTGCTTCTCCTTCACTGTCAGCCTTCCAGTTCTCTGACTCCAATTCCCAGAATTCTCTTCAGTAACAGGATTGGAATTCTGGGGAATAAAAGTCCACAATCTAAAGCAGTTTTTCTCAACCTTGGCAACTTGAAGATCTGTGGACTTTCAACTCCCAGAATTCCCCAGCCATTTGGTTTCTCTAAGCTAGTGGTTTACATTTGGGTTTCTGTTACTTATATTCTCAAGCTCACTTTTTTGGAATGAATAACAGGAGATACATATTTTAAATTGGTGGAAAGTTAAATCTCCCTCAAATCAAGGTTGGCTTCCGGTAAATCCAAGGACCCAACCAGGTTTTTTTGGCCAAAAACATGGAAATGGTTTGTTACTAGCTATCTTCTAGGATGTGTTTTCAACTTTCTAGTCTAGGGTAGTCTAATCTAGCCGGCAACCTTGGGATTTCCTTGTGGTATCTCATCCCAATATTAACCTGGTCTGATCTTGCTTAGTTTTTCTGAGAACACCCAAACTTAGTTAGGTATTTCTATCTGCTGACTTTCACTAATAAAGAGTGCTGTATTTTTTTTTTCCCTGGATTCACTTTAACAACTGCAATGATTCCTTTAAAACCATAGGAAAAGAGGTGGTAAAATTGCACGTAACTTCACTTAGCAATCACTTTGCTTAGCAATGGAAATTCTGTTCCCAATTTTAGTTGTAAGTCAAGGACTACCTGTACATTTGTAGTAGGTAGCAACGTGACAGAAGGCAATGCGTACATTTTAAATAACCTGACAGAACAGAAATAACCTTTTCCTAGTATCCAAAGTTAGCTAATTCTTGGTTAGTTGATTCCTGATCAGGGGCTGCCACAAAAAAGAAAGGGGGGGTGTCACTCTATTTTCCAAAACACCTGAAAACAGAACAGGAAGCAACGGATGGAAACTAACCAAGGAGAGAAGCAACCTAGAACTAAGGAGAAATTTCTTAAGAGTGAGAACAATTAATCAGTGGAACAACCTGCCTCCAGAGGTTGTGGGTGCTCCAACACTGGAGATTTTTAAGAAGAGATTGGACAACCATTTGTCTGAAATGGTATAGGGCAGTGGTGGCGAACCTATGGCACGTGTGCCAGAGGTGGCACTCAGAGCCCTCTCTGTGGGCACGCGCACCGTTGCCCCAGCCCCACCTCCCTCCACAGCCCCCTCCCCCTAACCAGGAGCCCCCCTGGAGGAGAGTCGCTCCCGAGCGCAGTCTGCATGGAGCAGCATAGCCAACGACATGGCAGCCGGGCAGCGGGGACAAGACGCCGCCCTCATGCCCCGTCACGCGCAGAATGCTGTGGGGCACGGGCGGAGGGCGTGGCCACAATGGCGCTGCTGGGCCACCTGGGCAATCTGCGGCAGGCCGTGGAGGCGGTGAGTGGCCCTGCGGGTGGGCGGGCTGGGG